ATTACCTAGCTTCTTTATATCAACACTCCACATTTATTTACTTATTCGCTACGCTCTAGGTGTGCCATTAAAAAAACTTAAAGTCAAACAAGATCAGCTTGTTCACGCACCATAAAATTAAGCATTAAATTAAAATAAATGAAGAAGAACAGAGACAAAAGATAGAAGCATTCGAAAGAAGTTTGTACGAGTATTATCGAAGTAGCACGATTATGAGTTGTTCAAAGATGAGAAACTTTATGCAATCTAATGTAAAATAAAAAGTAGTCTTGCACAATTTATTGAAAGGCCTTAAAACAAAAAGCAGTAAGCCGTCAAAAGCATTATCCTGAGCTACAATCGAAAGCAAATTTCCATAATCTAAAAGCAATCTAACAGTAGGATTTATACGAATTATAAAAAAATACGTCTTTCACAAATAAATGAATTTATCGCATGTTTCATTTTCTATGTACTTATTAATTCAATTCAAAACATATCAAGTTCCTAAGCCATAGAAACTTGACCGTGAAATGACTTCTATAAATGGTGATAAGCATATTTTTGAAGAAAAAGAGAACAGCTCAAAACAAAGAATAAATGAAATAGAACTTATTCATCGAAGTCATCACCGCAAAGACTGCATTTATGTAACAATGGAAGTCTTTCATGAAAAGAGAAAAGCAGGTTCAGGAGTTGAAGAAAGTAGGGTGTGGTATTGGAAAGAAATCACCAATATGCCATGCAAGTGCATCCTTGAAGCAGCATTGTTCAGTTAGACATAAACACTGTGGCGGCTGGTGGTGGATCGCGACTATTCTTCGCAAATGGAATTTTCGTTGTTGGTCCGGAAAGTGTTGGTGCTCATCCTGGCCCTGTTTGTTACAGAAAAGGAGGGTATGTCAAAATAACTTGTTAATATCATAAACAAATGCCGTACTTATAATGGCGAAGGATAGGAATATGAGGATATTTGCTTTTCCTTGCTGTCATCCATAATTTCAGCCACCTGTCAATCACTGATGCAAACCTTGTGCTTGGTCGCATTCTCCCAGAGTACTTTCCCAAAATCTTCGGTCCCAATTGCGATGAAAGTCTGGATAGGTGTGTTCTCTGCTCGTTTCATTGTTTATATGAGCTCTCGAGTTTAAGCGAAGCTTCTTACTCCGCCATGAAGGAGCTAACAAGTGAAATCAATGACTACGTTAAGAATAACCCTGATGCCGTCCAGAAGGAGTACAGTGTTGAAGAGGTAAGAAGTGACCGATTGAAGCTCAATTGTACATCTTCCTGTTGAAGGTTGCTTTGGGATTCGTTACAGTGGCGAACGAAGAGATGTGTCGTCCAATAAGAACGTTGAC